GAATGTTGAGGAAATGATAGAGTTAGAATGGTTCAGACTGCTTGTAACTGAATGGCTGGCTCTAGGCCGTGACCCTCTGTAACCTCCCCGGTCACAGAAGGAAGCTGCCCGGATCATGTGCCTCCTCGAGGGAAGTTGGCTGGGTATGTGGGCCGCACAGGAAGGACAGGCTGCCCCTTGGCCGGGTCCCAAACCAGAATCACACAAGCCCGGACCCATCCACAGTTGACAGGAAATACAGGCCCAGAGGGATCTGAAATAATTCCAGATGGGTCAGCAAAATCCAGATGGGGAAATTCTACTGGGCAGAAAGATCCCCAGTCATTTTAACATAAATTACAAGAAGAGGAGGAAGGACCTGTGTTGTTAAGGAACTGAAGAGACAAATAAACATTGTACGGTTTATTTGGATCCTGATTCTAACAATCAGACTATAGCAAAACCAAACTTGTAAGTCAGGGAAGTTTGAACGTTGATTCGATATTTGGTGATGTTAAGGAATTATTGCTAACGATACTGGTATTTTGTTTTTGTATTTTTAAAAAAGTGTTTATCTTCTAAAGATGCATACTGAAATATTTGTAGCAGAAGCGTTGTGTTGTCTGGGTCAGCTTTACAAAAGTCCAGTGAGGGGCTGCGGGGGTGGGTGTGTGGACGTAGTTCATTTGGGGATGACTGGAAATTGGAAGCTGGTAGCCTCCGGAGCTCCGGACCTCGGTCTCCATCTCCCAGCGTTATTGTGCAGGATGCAGGTGATGTGTGCATAGAGCTCAGGGCTGGCTGGTGACACAGGCCCAGTGGCCAGTAGCTGTTTTTCATTCTTACACGAATCGCTCACCAGTGTTACCCGAACCACTGCTGGCTCCCTGTCCTGCATAGTTATCGTCCATTACCTAACGGCTGGGGACTTACCCGTGAGTCGTCAGTGTGGCATTCCCGACTGTTGACGTCTGGAAGGACATTGTGTCTGCTTGATGAAGTGCTTCACTGAAAACCTGCTGAGTTGGTCAGCACATGACACAGAGTTGATACATTGTTTTCTAAAATGGCAACCTTGTTCTGCATAAAGAGTTGTTTCAAACTAGCCAAGTGCATTCTTATTCTTTTCCCTGGGAAAATCATATACTTTCTTCCCAGAGGGATTAACCTTAATATGATTTGCTCATGGGAAGAAATCCGGCCAAGGTGCAGACATTGAGTGAGTGCTGATTTTGACACCATGTAAGGAAGAACTTTCGAAAATAATGGTTAAAATGGACGTGGCGGTGTATGAGATAGTGAGCTCCCTGTCTTTGGGGCTATTCAAGTAGAGGCTAACAGTGTCACTGTGGTGATCATTCCTAAGGTGATTGGGAGATTAGGGGACTGAGTGAAAGTGACAGCAAGCGATGCTTTAATGAAGCCAGTGTTGTATGGGGTAACAAGGTTTTTAGTACAAACCAAGTAATGCACAAATAGTTTAGGTCAGTGGTTCTCAAAGCATCGTCCCAGACCAGCAGCATCAGTGTAAACCTGCCAACTTAGAAACACAAATTCTCTGGCCCTACCCCAGACCTGTTGAATGAAAAATTCTGGGGTGGCAGCCCCAGATCTCTCTTTTCATAAGCCTTTGCAGGTGATTGTGATGCCAGCTGAACAGGAGTCCTGTTCTAGAAGGAGATGTTTTCCTGGGGTGGGACCATTCTGAGCGATCCTGGCAGTGTGTGGGAGCCTGGTGTGGGGAAGACTGAGGGTGGGGCAGCCTCAGGGGTCTGGGGTGCCTCACTAAGATCCCTTCCTCTTAGGAACAGCCTTTCTTTTCCTGATACTTTTCTCCTGTCCCTCCTGTGTGATCTTCTCATCCATGCTCTAGAGTGTAGTCCATGCTCTAGAATGCAGAGCCAGATTCTTCAGAATCTCTGTCTAGAAAATGTTCCATGCTTCTCCATGCAAGGCATTGGCAAATTGATAGAAACCCTCAGGTGGAAAATAGTGATCTGGGAGGGAAAGTGCATGTGTTTGGAAGGAAGTGTCACAGCACTGACTTCTCAGCCTCTACCTGTCTTCCAAGGAGGAAGGGGTCCTCTAAGACTTAGCTTCATGCAGGAGCATAAGGCGTCCCTGGTATAAAGAACTGGAGTCACATACTTACAAATATCACTGGACAAGACTGTAATTATGATTCTTTTAATCATATTATTGAGGTAATTTATTATGCGAGGACATTAGAATTGGGAAGTTTTCCAGGTATTTCTTAAGTGAATCAAAGACTGAGTGATCTACAAATTTATTTAGATTAAATTACGGTTAATCTTCATTATTTATGGATTTTGTATTTGCAAATTTGCCCACTTGCTAAAATTTATTTGTAATCTCCAAATGGATACTCAGTGTGCTTTCGTAGTCATTCACAGACATGCTCAGAATGGCAAAGCATTTTCGAGCTGCCGGCTGTGCGCGTCCCCAGCTGGGGTTGAACAGGACGGTGCTCTGCCATCTTGTCTCTGCTCTCATACTGGTAGTCAACAAGTGTCCTTTTCCAGGTGTATTTAGTGCCACATGTCTGGCATTTTTGTTAGTGATTTCACCATTTAAAATGATCCCCAAGTGTAGTGCTGAAGTGCTGTCCAGTGCTCGTAAGCACAAGAAGGCTGTCTGGTGTGCATGGTGACTTTTTAGAACATGATGGTGAATAGCAAGAACTGACTGCAAATGATCAGGTATTGATTAGGGGTCCTCAGACTGCTCTATTGTCAAGTTATCACCTGAGAACTACCTTTTCCCTGACCTGCCTGTCAGAGAGAGCAGACCCAGCCCACTTTCTGGCTGCCTCCCTGTGAACCTTGGTGGGCAGTTCTCATACAAACCAGAGAATCAGAGAGAAGGAGAGGCCAAGCTGGGAGGAATCTACGGTGGAGGGCTAAGCGGTCTTGGCTTTTTGGGGTGCTAGGGAAGTAGGGAAATTGACGGTCCACCGTGGTGGAGTGCGAGCTCAGGTCCTGAGTCCCAGCTCTGCCACTCCCTCGCTGTGTGACTTTGGGTGCATGGCCTCACCTTGTCAGGCCCGGTCCTCAGCTCCCCTCTGGCAGAGTGGGCATGGTAAGGGTTCCCAGCACAGGGGGCTGCTGTCAGGGTCACAGGGCACAGTGACCGCTTCGCACTGCGTCTGGGCCGGAGTGCGTGAGGGATGCGTGTTGCCCTCACCGTTCTTCTCGTGTGATGTCTGCAACAGTGAGGCTGAGTGTTGCTTCCCCGTCACGTGTCATCTGTCTGCTTTCACATTCAGTCGTCTGTCATTTAAAATGATCAGAATTTGTAGGTGGTTGTTGAAATATGAGTTAACTTGCAGAATCCTAGTTACTCACTTTAGCATTTGATTCTGTCTGAAACAGACAGCAGTCACCACCTGTCTTTGATGTACCGACCTGCCCTGTCTTCTCTGAGTTCAGTCCAGGGGCTGGGCTTCCCCTGTCCTGTCTTTGCATAATGTACACTCACAACGAATCCTCTAAAATTCCCCGTTTGGGCTTCCTCAAAGTGTTATGAAAGCTTAAAGAGATTTTCAAGACAATCTGACCACATCGATGCTTGGGGTTTGCCCCCGTGTGTTACAGCTGTCTCACACCCCTGATTAAGTCAAGAGCGCTGGTGACCACGCCTTTCCGGAGACATGGACATCTGTGTTCATTGCAACAACAGATCTCTTTTTAGGCTCACATTTCGTTGGTTTGCACAATATTTTGTTAAACTCTGCAGTGACAGTAGCCCGTGCATCTGGCATGAATAGATTTGAGAGCAGACACGGTGGGCTTCTGGTAAACTTCCAGGTTGGCAGAGGAAGCGGTACAGGGTTACAGAGGCTGGCTCCGACTGTCCAGCCAGCAGCACTGGCAGCAGGCGTCTGTCTTCCAGAATGAATGGAGTGACTAGCCAATTAATGGTCAATGCGAGGGCTATAGGGCAGTTTTGGTGTGACCTGATTGATTTGGTTATGGAGGGCACAGAGTTTAATTCCAATCAGCAAACAGTAAGGACTCCAACTTTCATGCAGCTTTCACAGGTGCTCTGGCCGAGACCACCTTCCATTCTCATTCAGCGTGTGTCTGTCTCTTCTTGAGTGTGATCCCTTGCCTTCTAGCCTTTAGTTCCACACTCAGAGTCTTATATTTTCCTCCGTCTCTCATTGTGAGTTTCTCAAATGTGGGAAATAGGCTCTGTTGTGTTTTTTCAGCTCCAGCATTTACAATGGGTGTGTACACACAGTAAGTGCTGGGAAAAATAGCCGTTGAAGTTAATTGTTCAGTAAATTAACTTTCTCATGGAGTCATGTGTGGATTATGTGACCCAACCTGTAGCTTATACGACATCCAAGTTGTAAACACAAGGCTCTTGTTGCAGGGTCTCGTTTAGAGTCGATCCTTGGTCAACTTGCACTAAATTGGAGGGAACCTGACGGGGAATTGCCGAGTGGTGGGGCACTGTGGGTCTTTGCTGCTCTAATATTTTACAGTTTCCATCAGCTCTCCCCAGTCGCACGAACCGTTTCCACCCACAGGGTTGGCTTTCCCCAGCCTTTTCTCTATGTACAGTCAGAAAGGAGAGACCATAGGGGCTGGCCCCACGGCTTAGCGGTTAAGTGTGGGCGCTCTGCTGCTGGCGGGCCGGGTTCAGATCCCGGGCGCACACCAATACACCGCTTGTCCGCGATGCCGAGGCAGCGTCCCACATACAGCAACTAGAAGGATGTGCAACTATGACATACAACTCTCTACTGGGGCTTTGGGGAGAAAAAGGGGAAAAAAAGGAGGAGGATTGGCAATAGATGTTAGCTCAGGGCCGGTCTTCCTCAGCAAAAAAAGAGGAGACTTGGCATGGATGTTAGCTCAGGGCTGATCTTCCTCACACACAAAAAAATAAATAAAATAAAAGAGAGACCACTTCTCACGGGGGTCCCTGGTGCTGCTCTGAGCAGGGGCCGTGTCTGCTCCACACCTGTGTGCCTCCCCCTTGCTCTGTTCCAGCTGCACAAGGTCAACGCTCCCTTCCTGGAGGGAGAGGGCCAGGCAGAGTAAGGGACGGTGTGGTGTGTGTGTGGGGGACAGCTCTTGGTCTACAAATACGCATTCACTGAGGCCTCTGGAGCGCCGGGTGCTGGACCACGTGCTGGCAGTTCCGACATGGTTTCTCTTGTTGTGGAATTTACATCCTAGGTGCTGAGGGCGGGGGCTACGTGCAGAGAAGGTCTGAGGCTAGTCCTTCTCCCTGCCCCCACACTTGGGACACTGGTTTCCTAACTACCCACACACCCCAAATCCCTCTTTAACTTTGCCAGGGCAATTCCTTTTTGGAAAAGGAGATCAAACATACTCAACTAGAAAAGGGTGGAATGAGCTCTTCCCCTTTTGGGCCTTTGCTCCACTCTGGAGCACTGATGTGTGCAGTCCTAGAAGTTACAGGGCTCTTCTTTCCAGGAGACCGGCTACAGGAAGTTCTCGTGACGAGAATCCCAATTATTCTTGTAGGTGTTTCTCCTGAGGCAGCCACTAAGGGTGATGAAAGATTTTCAACTGTAGAATGTTTATCACAGCATTGCTTATAAGTGAAAATTGGGATTCTAATAACATTCAGGTATAGGGGAAATTACGTTCCAGCTAGACACTGGATACCACGCAGCTGTTGAAAACTAGTTTGTAGAAGAAAATTTGATGACACAGACATACAGTGCTATTCTATTTTTAAATATGTGTGTTTAGAAAAAAGTCAGGAAGGGAGCCGACCTGGTGGCACAGCGGTTAAGGGTGCGCGCTCCACTTCGGCGGCCCGGGGTTCAAAGGTTCGGATCCCGGGCACGCACCAACGCACTGCTTGTCAGGCCATGCTGTGGTGGCGTCCCATATAAAGTAGAGGAGGATGGGCACAGATGTTAGTCCAGGGCTAATCTTCCTCAGCAAAAAAAACGGAGGATTAGAATGGATGTTAGCTCAGGGCTAATCTTCCTCACAAAAAATACCAAAAAAAGTCAGGAATGATCTATTCCGTGTTGCTAACCATGGTTGTCTTGGGGTGTGGGGAGGAGTGGGCAAATGGGTGCCTCTTCTTCTTTTTGTGTGTCTACTTTCCAGATTTTCTACAATAAAATCACTTCCTTTTATCGTAAGAAAGAAAATAAGTGAGTACTTGTTATTTTTAAAATAGTACCAGCAGGTTCTTAGAGCTGGCCTCCCAGTGACAAGGTGGGACTCTGGTCCCCAGCTGAGGCGGGAGGCTGGATAGCTCCGCAGGGGGCGCTGTGCCTGCGTGGTCTGACTCCCAGCCGGGTGTGCACCTAAGGGAAGGGCAGGGTAGACCAGTTGTTCCTCCTGCAGAAGGCCCTGCTAGCCTCCCTCTTTCCACCACTCATCTCGGTGCAGACTGATTTTGTTTTATTATTTTATTATTACTTTCATATCTAATTTGTACTGGACATCTGACCTCCCTGAGTGTAGAAAGGAGGAAAAAAAAGATTGGTGTATCCAAGAGGCATTGCTTTTGTAAACCCGTTCGCCCATGAGGCAGTCCCTGATTAAAGCCCCAGAGTTTAGAGGACATGTCTGAGAATATCACACTGTCACCGTTTTTTGAGTGAAGTGGCATGCCCAATGCTTAGCTGCGGAAGCTGCCCTGAGGCAGAGACCCCAGGTGGATATCCCATCTGTCTGACCATGTGGGCCCTGGGGGTGCTGCCGGGCCTTGCACTAGGGCCCTGACCTTTGGGCAGCTGTGGCTTCCATGGATTAGCCAGGTGACCTTGGACGAGTCAGTTAGATGCTGGGGACTTGGTTTCTTCACCTGTAAAAAGGGAAGAACGTTTCAGTGAGGAATAAGATTGCATGTGTGGTTTTGGTCTAGTGTATCATGTTATATACATGCTATATATTTTGATATTAATTTGGGATAAGACTCATTTTATTGATCTGTTTTGTTGATAGAGTTGATCCAACAAAACTTATTTCCTCATGTTTATCAGGGTTCTTTGAGTCTAGTTATTATGTCGTCTTCTCAAAGTCTTCTGATCGTCTCTTTCAATTGTCAGAGGATAACTTGGATATCAAGTTTTCCTTAGTGCAAAAGCAAATACTAGTGAGAAAAATCATCAGGATGTTCGGCGACAAGCTTCTCTGTTAATGGACTGCCAGGAGCACGTGTAGGACACAGCTCAGGACAGCCCTGCCTGAATGTCATTGCCCCTTTTCGTAGACAAAGATATGAGTGGACAGGGCTCGCCTGATTGAGCCAAGAGTGTCCTGCCTGTAGAGACAAAGCTGGGATTTGAACTCAGCTTTTCCCGCCTCCAGGTCCCCTTCTGGAGTCTTCCCATTGAAATGACAGTCAGGACGATGACAGAAATGCTGGGAGGCACCATTTTGGGTGGTAGTTGGAGGAGCTGTTAAACCTTGGTAATGGAATTGATTTGAAGTTCCAGAGAAAGAAGGAGCCATTTTTGGTTCTTGAGTGGCAGAAAAGCATGATGGGGAGTGAGGTTTTTGAAAGCTTAGTTTCTGGCAGTGGTAACGGAGTTAATTTAGTATGATATTGTGATTTATGCTAAGAAATATATATTTGCTTTTTATCCCTAAAAACCCATGGAATTTCTTAAGTGATGAGAACCATAAAGGTGTCCTTTGTTGTGTTAATGAGGTCATGGAAAGCACCTCGGCAGGGGGCTGGTTGCCAATGGAGCCAACCTTGTGATTCCAGACTGGGAACTTCCTGTCCCACCTCCAGCCCTCAATCGGGAGCTTGAATCAATCACCAATGGCCACTGATTTAATCAATCCTGCCTATGCAATGAAACCTCCATAAAACCCAAAAGGACGGGGTTCAGAGAGCTTCCTGGTTGGTGAACACGTGGAGATTCGGGGAGAGTGGCACCTGGAGAGGGCATGTAAGCCCTGCGCCCTTTCCGCACACCTTACCCTACGCATCTCTTCCATCTGGCTGTTCCTGAGTTATAGCCTTTTATAATAAACCAGTGATCTAGTTTTAAATCTAGATCTTGTTTAAAAAACAAATCAAGTTTTTTTTTTTTTTTTCCCTCCCTTTCTTTCCGGGAGAGTCTGTTTTAAATATTCATCAGAACGCTACAGGGAGAGTGAAATTGGAGAAATGGGCATGTCCTGTGGGTCCTGTCCTGTGGGTCGTGTCATGGGGATCCTGTCCTGTGGGTGGTGTCCTGTGTGTCCTGTCATGATGTCATGTCCTGTGGGTTGTGTGATGAGCATCATGTCCTGTGGGTCGTGTCCTGCGGGTCGTGTCATGAGGATCCTGTCCTGTGAGTGGTGTCCTGTGTGTCCTGTCATGAGGGTCGTGTCCTGTGGGTTGTGTCATGAGCGTGGTGGCCTGTGGGTCGTGTCGTGAGCATCGTGGCCTGTGGGTCGTGGCCTGTGGGTCATGTCATGAGGGTCGTGTCCTGTGGGTTGTGTCATGAGCGTCATGGCCTGTGGGTCGTGTCGTGAGGGTCGTGTCCTGTGGGTCGTGTCCTGCGGGTCTTGTCATGAGGATCCTGTCCTGTGGGTGGTGTCCTGTGTGTCCTGTCATGAGGGTCGTGTCCTGTGGGTTGTGTCATGAGCGTCGTGTCCTGTGGGTCGTGTCGTGAGCGTCGTGGCCTGTGGGTCGTGGCCTGTGGGTCATGTCATGAGGGTCATGTCCTGTGGGTTGTGTCCTGAGGGTCCTGTCCTGTGCGTCATGTTGGGCTCTCAGATTCGGCGTGCAGCCCAGGGAGCGGGGTGGACCTGCCTTCCCCTGCTGGGTGCAGAGGGTCCTGCAAAAGTGTTCCCAGGAGGAGGGCCTGCCTTTTCTCTGGACCCCTGGCGTGCACCTGCCCAGGTGGCACCCTGGGCCTCCCTCCTCAGGAAACACGTGCTGCCAGCACTGGCACCAGACCCTTGGTGCAGGAGTGTGGAGAAGAGGCTTCCTCCCCGCTGAACAAGCAGCCTGCAGACTGGGCCTCTTGCTCCCAGCCCTCTGCACGCCTACCTCCCTTGAGGGCCCAGCCCCTTCCTTATTTCCACAGACATGCTGGGCACTGCTTGGGAGGCCCCAGCTCAAGTGGACACCCTCTGTCCGCAGAACTGATGGCCGGAAGCCCAGTGGGGCCTGGTTTTGATTTGAGCACTGTCCAGCACCCAGCAGGAGCAGACGCTCACGGGCAACGTCACTGATGTGTGTGTGAGAGGACGGACGCGACTGCGAGAAGGCCCTGGTCCACCTCTGAGTGGTCAAGTGCACTGAGCTGCGAGAGGGCGCCTCTGCCTGTTCTTCCCTGGTCATCCCTTGACCCTGATTGTTCCAGGCTAAGTTCACTCGAGATTCCTTCTACAGCCCAGGCCCTGCTGCTCCCTTCTTGGGCCAGGGAAGGCATGTCCTGGCCTGAGCTGTGTGGTCGGCTCTCTGGGTACATCTGGCCCCCTGCCTGAGAGCAGGAGCCCTGAGCTCGGGGACAGCTACCTGCCAGGGCGGGGCCTGCCTTCTGGCCCACGTTTGTAGGCATCTGAGGGTCTCTGACTTTGAGGTGGCTTTACTGCCCCCTCGGGTTTCAGTGGGGCCATCCTTGGTGGGAGGCCTGGGTGTTGGGGTAGCATGGGCCTGCAGGAGGACACTACCTTGCCGGGCATACCCAGAGTGGACTCAGATTCCTGCTGCCGAAGGCCTCTCTCTGCGGAGAGCTGTCCACCGCCTGGGATGAGTGACGTTACCCCAAGCACAATTGCCAAGGTTCTCCACCTTCTAAAGAGTGTCTCGTCACTCTGGGGCTGCAGCTCAGTCCTGGGCTGCTCCTTCGTGCATTGTTAATATTCCTGGCCAGTGCCTCTGCAGTTGAGAATGCTCCCGCTGGGAATTTTCTGGCATTTTTGAGAGAGCTGGGTCCCCAGGCTCATTGTGTTCTCAGTCACCATGACGTAAGGAATACACGGCCTGTCCTCAAGGCGCCACACCTGGCCAGACTGCTCCCCCTCCAGAGCACGTTCCTCACTTGCAAAATGCAGGAGTTGGGCTAGAACCTTCTCTCTCTGTACAGGGCCAGTGATGGTGA